GGAAGCACGTTATGCTACCATTATAAAAACTTGGCAAACGACGATTTAAAAGCATAATATAGTGATTTTATTGAAAATACTACATGTTTCGACAGCACATTGATATGTCTTCTTTTATTGCATTGGACCAATTTTTGCAAACTAAACCAAATCACAAAGAAGAAACATTTTTGGGTAGTTGCAGGAAGAAGCTGTTGTCACATAAGTTGGTTTAAGATTTTGATTTTGTCATTTATAAGTACGCTGCTAATATAGCTAATGCATTATGTTCCTAAAGAAAATCTCCTATATAGACTTTAAACAAGTTAATTCTAAAATCCATACCTAGTGATCTAACAAAAAAATCTCTTTAGGGTAGATTGGTAAACTACATGTTTCACTGATAGACTTAATTTTGATTTTTAATCCATTGCCTTACTATTTGTTCCTTAGAATTTGGACCCATTCATAGTTTTTTTTTTTTTTTGTCAAGTAATAGACAACTTGTAATACGTCATACAAAATATCTTATTTTGTGTGTAATTATAAGACTTTAAGTTTAAATAGTGGTATATATATATATATACACCCCCCCCCAAGTCGATTTGAAACAACTTTTTGAATGGGTACAACGATAAGGTTTAAAATACGTACTAGAAGATAACAGCCACTTAAAGGCGGCTGATACCTATTAATGTAAAAAATTGGCTGTAAAATAGACTTAATTATGTAAAACTGGCGTTTTATTTTACATGCGTATATAAATATAATGAAGTTGCTTTATCAACACAAAAGTTTATAATCAGTGGCGTAACTACAATTTTTGTCTCCCTCTCCCACAAAAATTTATAAAGCCTCCTAAAATATAAGCACAGAATAAATTTGCTATATTGTCTAGCTTTCATTATGCCCCCTGAGCTCTCGGAGCCCTCCCTGCCGCAATGCGGTCTCTGCTGCAAGATAGCTACGCCACTGTTTATAATATATATAAAGTGTATCACTTCCTAGTCTCGCAACCATACTGATTCCTTCAAAGGGGACACCGAGAAAGTGCTGAGATAAGGCACTTGTAATGAGGCTCAATAAACATGTTTAGCTTCTGTTTGTGGTACGTAACATCCCACGGGAAAATAGAGCAAAGCAGTGCTTTGTAATCAGGAAGGGCAAGTTATCTAAGTGAAAGCACAGGTTTTACCCACATGACGGATTTAGAGCAAGTGGTATATTTCATCGTGTTACATGCCTTGTAGCTACTTTTTTTTTTCATTTGCATACTAACTTTGCCCTGATTCTTGGATGAATAAACATTTAACAAAAATATTTAACGGCATGCTCCACCTTTACTACCCTAAAGGAAGAAGCAGCAGGCCTACTTCTGTACTTCAAGTAATTTGAGTGTTCATTTTTGCCACCCTCAGAATGCTGGAAGGTGGATGACTTTTAAATCGTACTGTTATTAGGGAACAACCTATAATCATATCCTCTTATACTGTATGACTAATATTTCATGTTCACTTTTGCTGCTTTCAAGTTTTGTAAAGCACCTTTTATGGTGCTTAAGGGTGCTTTCTTCAAATTATTACACTACTACGAACACAATATAAAATTAACACCAGATGGTCCATAAGTACTTTACAACTGATGTCTGATAGTTGTGAAAAATACCTTGTTAAGACACTAATGCAATCTGTAGTTTGGCATGAGAAAGTACTGTATTTAAATTACCTTGTTAAGACATTAGTGCAATCTGTAGTTTGGCATGAGAAAGTACTGTATTTTAATAACCTTGTCAAGACACTAGTGCAATCTGTAGTTTGACATGAGAAAGTACTGTATTTAATTACCTTGTCAAGACACTAGTGCAATCTGTAGTTTGGACATGAGAAAGTACTGTATTTTAATTACCTTGTCAAGACACTAGTGCAATCTGTAGTTTGACATAAGAAAGTACTGTATGTTAATTACCTTGTCAAGAGAAATGAGAAAGTAATGTATTTAAATTACCTTGTCAAGACACTAGTTTTTTGCAGAAAATAATGAAAGTTTCGAAATTTCTTGACAAAATTTATTGTCATTGATCTGTATCATATATAGTATAAAATGTTTAATCAATTCCAATAATATATTAATTATAATACATCAATATATCCGTATTAAAATAATATAGAAAAAACAATATCCAATCCACCTATATGTTTACCTTATTATCCGGAAATCTCAAATAAAATAGGTACATTATTGAATAGCAACCAAATCAAAACAATTTTCAAGCCAATTGGAAAAACTCTTAAGTAAACTAAATAAAGGGAAAGATCCCATCAATAGCTTCCGGAAACAATGAATATATTCGATCTAATGTTGATACATAGGTCAAACTAAACGGTCGTTGAATAAAGAATAGAAGTACATGAAGATCATTGCCACCGTTTGAAAATAGAAAAATCAACTATCGCCGCTCATGCATACCAAAAATGATCACATAATCAAATTCTCAGAAACGAAATTCATCGCAGAACCTAAATATTTTCACCAATGAAATATTAGAAAAGCTTTTGAGATACATGAAAATGCAGACAGTCTCATAAATAATGATATGGGTTTTCATCTGTATCCATTATGGAAAACATGTGTGAAGAAATCGACCGAGAAAACAACACTCGTTAGACGTCGCTGTTCTCACAGAGTATACCTTTGAAAATTACGCATATGGTACGTTGAAACTAGACGGGTAATTAGATTCATATTTTTGAAACTAGACGGGTAATTAGATTCATATTTTTGAAACTAGACGGGTAATTATCTTCATATTTTTATAAATTTGTGTTTGTTTTTCCTTACTTAAGCCCCCCAGTGGCTCAGCGGTATTTCTGTGGACGTACAACGCTAGAAACCGGGTTTCGATACCCGTGATGAGCAGAGCACAGATAGCCTTTTGTGTAGCTTTGTGCTTGACTACAAACAAACAAACAAATCCTTACTTAATCTGTGCTTATAAAGCTGTTAACCTTTATAACATTTGTAGATAGCACAAAGTACTATATAACTTGATTAATATCTGTACTAATTACTAGATTAACCACTTTCTTAATGGCTCATAATAATGCTTTCATTTAGGTATGCGTAATATCGGTCATAAAATATTCGTTCTGATAGATAATCTACAGGTATTAAAGGTTAAAAAAATTATATACCCAAT